CCTCAGCCACGATCGGTCGAGGCGACGCCTCAGCCACGATCAGCCGAGGCGCACGCCTCGGCCACGGTCGGTCGAGGCGACGCCTCAGTATCGGTCGGTCGAGGCGACGCCTCGACCACGATTGGTTGAGGCGACGCCTCGGCCACGATCAGTCGAGGGGTTGGCCGAGGCGCCCGCATTGGCCAACGCCGAAGTCCGTCTCGAAAAAAAAAAAAAAAAAAAAAAAAAAAAACGATTGGACGAGGCTACGCCTCGGCCGCGATCAGCCGAAGCGCACGCCTTGGCCACAATCGTGGCCTCGACCACGATCGGTCGAGGCGACGCCTCGGCGACGATCTGTCGAGGCGACGCCTCAGCCACGATCGGTCGAGGCGACGCCTCAGCCATGGTCAGCCGAGGCGCACGCCTCGGCCATGGTCGGTCGAGGCGACGCCTCGGCCACGATCGGTCGAGGCGACGCCTCGGCCACGATCGGTCGAGGCGACGCCTCGGCCACGATCGGTCGAGGCGACGCCTCGGCCACGGTCGGTCAAGGCGACGCCTCGGCCACGGTCAGCCGAGGCGCACGCCTCGGCCACGATTGGTCGAGGTGACGCCTCGGCCAACGCCGAAGTCCGTCTCGGCAAAAAAAAAAAAAAAAAAAAAAAAAAAACACGATCGGTCGAGGCGACGCCTCGGCCACGGTCAGCCGAGGCGCACGCCTCGGCCACGATTGGTCGAGGCGACGCCTCGGCCACGATAAGTCGAGGCGACGCCTCGGCCACAATAAGTCGAGGCGACGCCTCGGCCACGCTCGGTTGAGGCGACGCCTCGGCCGGAGGCACGCACCTCGGCCAGCCTAAGCCGCAGCCCGTCTCGGCGAGCATAAAAAAAAAAAATTCATGTGTGATTTGGAAAATAAAATCACATACTCGGGATCAATCGGGATTCCGCACGATATCAAGCAAATTCGGCTTTACTCCCAAGTCAACTCAATCATATCCGTTGCCTCAGGAGTAGGGGGGACTGGTGACAGGATAATAGGGCTGGCACCCGACCCGGATCACAAATGGGCATTGACTCAGCATCACATGGGAACCCAACGGGGAGAATTTCAACGGTTAGGAATTCCAACATGTGTCACCTTTATTGTCTTTGAAGCCACCATTGATGCCACCTTTGATGAGAGAGAGTTAAAGCCTCAACGCCTCATTCATGACTCTTCATATTCTTGCCGTTAGCTCAGCTCCCCAATGATGACTCTTCATGTTGTTACCGTTAGGACCTAGCATAAATAGAACTTCCCTCAGCTGAGCAGGGGACATTGTACTTTCTATACTGAGACAAAAGCAATACAACTATCGTATTCTCTTATAGCATTGTTATATTATTATTTACCGGTAACGTTATTACCGTCAATGTGAAATACAAAATTTTAGATAAATGACTAATTGTGACAAGCAAATGAATATTAAGAATGTAATAAAATAACTTGCACGAGTTTAGCTTACTGATTTAGTAAGCAAGAACAGTCAAAGGTTCAAACGTCGCGACTGTGCGACATAAAATAAAATCAAAAGCCTAAATTAAATGCCATAATGTTATGATAGTGGAGGGGTGGAATTTGCTCTTAAATAAAATATCCAATCAAGAAATAAGAAAGAAATTAATAAACCAAAAAAAAAAAAAAAAAACATTTCAGAGGTGGTGAGAACTGAGAAGTTGACAAAGAGGTGGCCATGGAAATGTGAATTAACAACTTCAAGACTCAGCTTTTCCGTGTGGATTCCGCACTCTCTTGATTACCCACATCTTCTTCTTCCTTCGTCTCCTGGGGCGCCGCTTCTTGCTCCGACGCCGGCAAAGGGCCGCCGGAGCCACCGTTCTCCGCCGCCGCTGCAGCCACCGGTCGCTCTGGCAGCTCGATCATCAGGCCATTAACGCACGACCCACATTTCGTCTCAAACCAGCTCTCAAAGGCGTAGTGACCGCGACCCATGATGCTCCCGCCGGAGCACAACCTGCCGATTATCACAGCTACGGCGCCCAGAACAACTATCACCGCCAGAACTCCGATCACGGCGCCGACCGACCCATGAGCCGGGCGATCCATGTAAGCTTGCTGGCCTGTCACCATTGCCGGCGTTTGCTGCAGAGGGTTCATCAACGGCGAATTGGACATTCTGAACGATAACTTCCCGAAAGTTTTGATTTTTGCAAGCTTTTTGGAATCTTAATGGGGTATCAGATTCTGGGTCTAACTCAGATTCTCTTCTTCTGGGCTCTAAACTGAACCAACCATGAAAATTCCCTGCAGTTTGGCGTCTCAGCAGAGCGGGAAAACACCGTGAGAGGTTAGGGAAGATGGAAGAAATGGCTGCAAATGGGAAAGGTGAGAGAGAAAAGGAGCATTCTTAAAGCGTTGGTTCTATCAAGAATGTTGTCATTATTAATCATCATTTTGTCGTGCAAATCTTCGATACACCAGCACGAATAGCTCAGTTGGTTCTTATGCATTAAATTGTAAATTGACAGATAGTTCATTTGATTTATAAGTTGTAAATTGTAGATTTATATCCGCATAGACAGTTCAGTTAGTTTTTGTGTGATAATTTACAGACAGTTCAGTTGATTTATGGGTTGTAAATTATGCATGGACTTATATCTGCACAGACAGCTCAGTTAGTTTCTGTGTGATAAATTAAGTCTGAACAACTATAGTGTGAGAATTGCGTCTAATGTAACGGACAGCTTTCCACCTAACGAACTGTTAAGTGACCGTGATTAGTCTTTTGTGGGCAAAAATTTATCTGAAAGTGAAATGGGGTACAGAAGTCTGGCCCCATGTAATTCAATGACTTTCAATTACATCACCATCTGAATGCTAGTTGTTTATCCAGTACTAAATGCAAGACAGACAACATTGTATGTCACTGTAACAATGCAAAAGTGTCATGTTGCCGACTAGGATAGGTAACAGAAATTAAAACATCCTTTTTTGTCAACAGTGTTTTAACTTATACCACAAACAGCACCACTGGTTTATGTTACAGATAGCAAAAGAAGCTGTTTTAAAGAACCATAACCTTAATTCACAGACCCACATATCTTTCTAATCTGTCCATTATCTTTTCCAGTAAGCACCCCAAGGTTGCCTAGCTTCACCATTGATGTAGCAAAGTCCATGTAAAAGCGATATGGATACGCGCTGTAATACTTAACCATATCAGCAGTCTGGGGATTGGCCATTAGAGCTTGATCGGACTCGAGAAGGCCCGTGTTGTTCACGAGATTGGTGTAATACGAGTTGTCGAATCTATACGTGGATTGGTAATCCAAAGGAGCGAGCTTGGTGTTCGATCCATCCACATTCGGGCAGGTTGTCTGCAAGTTTGACAGGAACGAGGATTCGAGTGTAGGGTCGGGTTTGCCAGAGCCTTGGTAGTTGAACAGCCTCCTCTTGAAGGTGAAACACTGGGCAAAACCAACACTGTGTGCTCCTAAACCACACAACAACATTAATCCTAGGAAACTGTAACATGTGACAAGTTCATTAAGGTAAATTTGGGTACCTGACAGAACAACCATGTCCTTCAGATCAAGACCCTGGGCTGAAAATTTGGCAGTGATGTCTTTGAGACTCTCGAAAGGCGATGGCAGCTGTTTCGTTGCTTCCTCGCTGGCAGTTAGTCCGTCTCGCCTCCCTAACAACACCCGCCAATATGGTCCTCCTGACTGTACAAAAACCCGAGAAATGAATCAGTTAATTAATCAACTGTCAATACCTTGTTGTCTGATGACATCACTGTCGCTTTCCAGGTCTCAGGTTTGAGTCCCATCCCAATTGGAACCAGGGACCGACCAGGAACATGAACAACGAAAATTAAGGTTTTTGTTTAGGAAAATTATAGTTTTTGATGTACCATGCCAACAGCATAACTAGCTGCAAGTGTTAGTATGTCAGTGCAAGAAACAGTTGAGGGACAAGCTTTCTCCACATCGGCTTTTATGCTGTCAATAACCTCAAAACCTCGGGCTGAGTTTCGGTTTGGTAAGCCATTCTTCTCCCCCTTGAAACCTTTCGTGTCATCCAGGAGCACAGAGCCATCACAGCCCTGCAGAAAAACCAAAATCACAAAATGTATATATATATATATATATATATATATATATATTCCAGATTGCAAGCATTATGGTTCTTGGAGGTGACAGAATTTACATTAACGAAACAATCATGAAAGTGCAGGCGAATCAGAGATGCAGCCATTCTCGAGTCGTTTCTGATGGCTGACCAAACGCCCCACCGGACTATCATGTCCAAGTTCGGGCATGACTGGTCATAGAAAAGGTAATCAAGTTGGGATTCAGCCATGGGAGCTGCCAGGAATCCCAGAAAGACGACGAGGCTGATTGCCACCATAACTTATGATTTATGAATCAAGAAAGAAGCTTTGGACTCGAGTTTTAATGCAAAAAACTTGGGCATTAAAGCAGCATTTTATACACTAACAATTCAAGGTTTCAGTGCTGTGGTGGAGCTTATACAGTGGGAATGCCACTATGCATGTGAGAGACAATACAAATTACCATAAACTTTAAAAAGATTAGTGAAGGATCCAGTCATTATCCACTTAAAACTTTCTTTAATTTTCTTCCATGCTAATCAGACCAAATAAAAATGCAGGCAGTTTGCTCGAAAGTCAAAAACCGAGCAAGTGGGAGCTGAGTAGCATGCACCCTCCCATTTCAAATGACCACTAAACCGAGTTCTGATTGTTGAGCATATAACCATTAATGTGCAATCCAACTATCAGCTTAGACTTTTAGTTGAGATGGAACACATGCTTCAATTTGGTATCAGAGCCAGACATAAAAATATTTCATATCACACGTGCTCAGATGAGTCCTTTTTGTAGTGAATTTTGTACTGAGTGGAGAAACATCATATTCAAGTACAGAATTAATTATTTCCATGACAAAGCAAGCACCACACCGGGCGTTATATCATTAACATTAAAATAGAGAAACAAAAACATATTATTGAAGAGAAATCCTAAATTTGAATAATTAGAACAGTAAGATGAGTAATATATAGAACAATGAAACAAAAGCTAGGCGATATATCAGCAGCCACGAGCTTTTGTTGGTTTCTGAGACCTAATGTGAATACTACATTTCTAATACTATACATTTGAATGATTCTGTGATACTAAAAAAATGGCGAGAAACGCCATTATTATCTGCAAACATACACACACGCTATACCTTCTAGGCTAAGCGGGATTGGATCGAGCAAAGTTGAACGGTGCATAAGATCAGACGATGCATGATAAGCTGGACGGAGCAGATGCCCCGAGTGGCTTTCCCCGTCCCATTGTGAAGCCTCGGGTTCCATCTGGCATTCTTGGCACCTTCACAATCGGCTTAGCGGGTCCCTCAGATTGGACATGGCAGTTAGGCTGTGGCGAGGCAGAAAGTAGGCCACGGGCACTGTAACTCAAGCTTTGCTGCCTGAGTTTCACTCGGGCTTTTCCCCATCCCTTCTTTGATGCACTCGAGCTCTCTTCAGCCTAGTCATTATCAGTCCAATATAATCTTCGGTTTCTGATAGCTAATGTACTATAAAACATCTGTAATATAATGTTTGTTTCACTTCAAATGATGTCTTACAATATTGTTAGTGTCATTAGCTGGCTCTGCAGGTTGAATAGGTTGCGGGGTATCTTCTGATAGCTCATCGTCGTCTAAATAGCCATCAAAATCCGATTTCCTGTTCTTTAAAACAGACTTTGGCTGCATATTTCCATAGATAAACGAAATGAAAATGAAGCAATAGGAGGGGGGAAATTAAGTGCAGATCGAGATCAAGGAGGATAGCGTACTGAGCGCCTAAGTAACATCTTTACTCTTAACCCCTTTCGCCAATTCTTTTCGTCATTCAACCTCTCCACCTAGCCAAATCACAAGAACAAGAAAATCTTCCAACACGAAAAAGATGTCAAAAAAAACAAAGAAATTTAGTGTTTGGAGGAATTAGCTTACAGCTTTCTCGGCTATTTCAGGACTCTCAAACTCTATCAAAGCGTGGAGCTTGAAAGAATGAAAGGAAGCAAAAAAAGATGTTAAAATTTTCGCCTCAAGAGCCAATCACAATTCAAGTATATATAACCCATCTTTCATTACCTTATTGCTAATGAAATGTTCTCCCTTTGAAGCAGAAGAATTGGAATCTTGGGGATGGCATACTCTGATGGTTTTCACACTGCAAATGCGTATCTTTAACTAAAGATCAGACAGGATAACCGCAACTGAATTCAATGAAAAAAGGAAAAAAGGCAAAAACTTAACCTTCCAACCACATTGAATATCTTCTCAATGTTATGATGGGAGTGATCATCAGGCAAATTCTCAGCCACAACAGTACGGGACTTCAAGAAAGAAGAAAAGCGTTTTAAGCACACAATAGGCCGGGAAGTAAAGAGACCATTTTTACAAGGAGAAATGCCAAGATTCATTCACCTGCAGCTCCTCTTTGTCCTTATCAGTGAAGGGTTGTTTTCGTTTAACCTTCTTGCCATCATTGCTCACAGTCTTCCGAAAAATCCACATTTCAAGACACAAATTTGATCAAAATTAGGATCTAAGTATGGGAAAATACACTCAGGGTTGCTGCACTAACCAGCTTTGATGAGGACCGGAGCGCTTGAGCAAGCACTTGCATAGGTTTATTACTAAGAAGAGACTTGATCTTCTTGGTAGAGGCGACAGAAGTTATAGGAACTGTTGTAATACAAACATATATCATTATAATCATAGGATCATCATTAAAACATGAGTATAACAGGAAAAAATGTAGTAAATTTCAGGCCATGATCCACACCATAGCCCTCAGGATCCTTGCTCATTTGTTTGGCCAAGTTCTCGTTGGCAAGCAAGCTCATGTCACTTAGCTGGTACTCCACCTATACATACAAGCAACACTGTCCTATCATCACAAAAATTCAACAATGCCACATATATTTGTTTTTTAGTGACGAGGGAAACTGTAATCACTATTCAAGAGTATACATTAAGTAAACCAGCCCCTTCTAGACCCCGTCTTGTGATCCTAGTTAGACTGTGCATTGGGTTTCCGGAAAAACCCCGCCTTGTAACCCTAGTCAGATTGTGCATTGGGTAAACCTCACCTTGTGACCCGACAAAGAACCACAAGGAGGTAAACTAGTCTAGATTGTCTATAGCTGACTGGCTTAAATCAAGAAGGTCAATAGGCCGGCAAAGGACCATAAGTAGGTAAACTAGCCTAGGTTGTCTAAGAACGCCAATAGGCTTCTCCTGTCAAAGAACTATAAAAAGGTGAACCAGCAAGAAGACCAATTGACGTACTGCCCCACCAAAAATCGAACTTGTAAACTTGTGGTTACAACTCACAAGTCAACGGCCTCACTAAGTTGGCTAGAGTATCCCAACAATGCCATAATTTACAATGATATACTGCAAGATGTGAACATAGAGGGATTTGAAGAGGACAACCTGTTTGATGATCTTTAGCCTGACTTCTTCAGGGAGTTCCTCCTTCCGGTCCTGAGGCAAGACAACATTTTTATTGTCGAAAAAGGGGAATGAATCTTGATCACCAACATAAATCCAATCTTGGTACTGCGAATATGGGTAGTAATATCCCGAAACTGGGATTTGGGTAAACGTTCTAGGAACGAATTCTGGAGCATGGACGTTTAATTTGAAACAACCGCCACCGCCGCCACCGCCAACGCCGCCGGCGCTGCTGCTTGTGCTGCCAATACTGACACTACTACCGCCCATTTTCTTCTTGCCCTGATCATTTCCTCTCACGCTTTCCATTTCCTGAGCATTCTTAGTGCAGGAAACCACCTCTTTCTCAGGTCTCTTCATTTGCGCCATGGCATGCTTTTTTTAAGGTAAAGTTTGATTTAAAATCTGTTTCTCCTTTGGAGATTTGTTAATGATGTTTTTGGTTGAATGTGGGTTTGGTTTCATTGAACAGGGTGTCGCTCTCGCAGGATGCCTGTGTTGAGAAGAGAATGTCGTTTATCGGTTGAGCGGAGAAGTTGGTTTTTTGTGAATCTCCTCTCCTCCAGTTTAGTAACTGTCATTTGGATAGTTGAAAGAGAACAGAAAATTGAATCCGCACAATCCAGCGCCAAACACTGAACCCCACACTTTTTTCCCTCTGACCAAATCTTTTTCAAAGGGGATATCATTTGACTTTTTTAAGGTTTAAATTCAAAGCATTTATAATTGTCCATTAAAGAACACGTGCGACATATTTGATCGAGATGATGATAATTGAACTTTTGAATTTTATTATAAAAAGCATGCCTCACTTAGAGCATCCACACTAAGAGCAACCACATCAATTGAAGATTTTATTTGATTTTTGTAATTCTATGTAAGAAAGAGAGGGAGGAGGAGAGAGGAAGCAAGTGAAAAAAAAATGCTGACAAAAAAAAGAAAGAAAAGAGAGGACACCATTACGCGCCAGCTAGGCACAACCGTGCTAGCTTATCTTTCCCATTTCATCTCAAACATTGGAGCCCACAACAAACTTTATTTGCACGAATAAAAATTCCACAAAAAACACTTCTCCCATCAATCCAAAAATCATATGTTGATTTTTTCTTAGTAAAAAAATTTAGCAAAAATCACTGATGCTGTTGCTATAAGAGCATCTACATCAGCTCAAACATTTTGACAATTTTTAAAGCTCTATCTAAAAAAGAGAAAAAGTGCAAGAAAAAAGAAGAAGAAAAAAAAAATAAATCTCACAACCTCATCTGAAAAGTCAAAAGAAAAAGAAAAAAAAAAAGCTTAAAACTAAAACAAAAACACGCCCAGTATGCATGTGCCTACTGGGCGCGCTGGTTGCGCTCAACGCGCAGCAAACCAGATGCCTTTCCCCTTCTCTCAGATGGCGGGTCTCAAAAAAATATTACATTTGCAAGGCAAAAAAAATTCTAAAAACCCATCTCCACATTAAAAAAAAAATCATCATTTAGTTTTTTGTTATGAAAAAACTTTCAAAAATTCACAAGTGGGGATGCTCAAATGCATTTTGATGTGAATTTTATGGCAAAAATGCATATGTAGATGAGAGATAGTGTTCAAGGTGCTCCTATTACTCCCTTAGAGCATCCACTAGAGAAGAATGAGGAGTTATTTCACTGAGGTGCAAGTGTCATGTTGGAGGAGTGAGGTGAGGAGAGGGAGTGTTTTTTTTTCTGCAAATGTTGAGTTATTTCTCTTCTCAAGGAAGAGAAATAAATGTGAACGCGCACAGCAACCGCCACGTCAGGCGCGTCCAAGGCCATTACTTTATTATTATTATTATTATTTTAAATCAATTTTGATTTTTTTTTCCTCCCCTTCCCACATTCTCTTTCATAATCACTCTTATATTCTATCCCCCAAATCTCCCCAACTGATGCGAATGCTCTTAGTTTTTGCAAGCATAATGGGCCCCACCAGAAAAAGTAGCATCTCATTTTTGCACAGGAGGCGCACAATGAGCGCCCACTCGGGTGCGTGCACGCCACGCGCCCAGTTGGCGCATTTTTATGCTGCTAATTTCTTTTCTTTTTTTTTTTTCCATCCTCTCTCCCATGTTCTCTCTCCTAGTAGGCACCTAAAAATTTGTGCTAAAAACTACATGGTTGAGGATGCTCTTAAATGTGAAGGTGTACTTTGGATGAAACGGACAAACAAGTCTAGGTGATTGTCCATAACTAACTTATTCAAACCTAGAAAACCGAGTTTCCACGAGGAATCAGAGCTTAGAACCTTAAGATATTTGATGCATATTATTCATTGCACTTGTTCTTTAATCAGTAATGAAATATTTTTCTTCTAAATTTACATAACTATTTGATCTTTTCTTTTTTTGGTAAGGGGATTAGTCAATTTGTGAATAATTAACAAATATAAAAAATTTTATTACCGCATCATGAAGTCAAGATTTTAAGGTAAATTTAAATGGGTAATGTGTGGTATTTGTGTAACTAAGATAATGACTTAAGTTCAATTTTTTTATATAGACTTTATTTATTATTATAATTATACTTTTCTTTTATCACACTTTGTATGAGTCTTTCTATATTGTTTCATCTCTTGGAGCATAAAGAAGATGTCTTTCTTTATTACTTAATCCTTTTTTAGAGTGATAGATTAAAGAACAAATTACTCTGAATGAGTCTTTCTATATTGTTTCATCTCTTGAAGCATAAAGAAGATGTCTTTCTTTATTACTTAATCCTTTTTTAGAGCGATAGATTAAAGAACAAATTACTAAAATGGTCATCCGGTTATAGTAATTTCATCTTTTTGGTTCTCAACTTACAAGATTTCATCTTTTTTATCCTCACATGAATAAATTACCAAAATAATCGCTCGACTATAATGATTTCACCGTTTCCATCCTCAACTTCCAATAATACCCCTCACTGTTAAAATTGCAACTATGTGGTCTTCCAGGGGAAACAAGGCTTTCAAGTTTCAATAATGCTTCAGTTGCAGAAACCACAAAAGAATTCAAAGAAAAGTTTATTGCATTATAAGAGTGATACACAACACACTTCTCAGATTGTCATATTGTCCCTTCCTCTCTCTCTCTCAAGGGAACAACTTTCTTGAAGTTCCTCACAACAAGAACTCAACTCAAAGTAGGGAGGAAATCTAATCCTGCAAAATTTTACACCCCACCAGCCATCCATATATATATATGTATGTAAGCTGTATAAACATATATAGTGAACATCTATGCACCATTTTTACTTGTCAGAGTAAGAATTTTCGGGATTTGCCTCCCGGACTTGTCATCATCATCTTCTTCTTCTGTCATGTTATTGTCTCCTGTCAATGAAGTGCCTAGGGGACCCTGAGGGGAACCGGACTGGGGTGCAAACCGATTTGCACTCGAGGTATTTGTGTGTGCAGATCTTCGAATATGAAGCCGGTATTTCTGCAATGGCATGGCAGAAGTTTTGTCAAATTTTAAACACTGCAAATGGAGCATAAGTAGTTGCAGGTTCACACTTACTTGCAGATGGCTCTTTACTTCATCATTTGTCAGACCCTCCACTTGCATAAGCTCTCTAATCTGCTTAGGAGTTGCCACTGCATAAAATCCAAAAGAGAATCTCAGGTTTATCAAAGATTTGTCTAATGGAATATCAAACTGAAGTACGTGTTCCATATCAACTAGCTGATAGTGAGCCCGCACATTTATAACTGAGTGACACTAATATCAAACTGAAGTATGTGCTCCATCTCAACTAGTAAGACTGTACATTTATAAGTGAGTAACACTGATATCAAATTGAAGTACGTGCTCCATCTCAACTAGCTGATAGTGGGACCACACATATGCTAATATCACATTGGAATACGTGTTCCATCTCAACTAACTGATAGTGAGATTGTACATTTATAAGTGAGTAACGCTAAATCAAATTGAAGTACGTGTTCCATCTCAACTAGCTGATAGTGAGACCACACGTTTATAACTGAGTGATGCTAATATCAAATTGAAGTACGTGTTCCATCTCAACTAGCTGATAAGCCTGATAGTGAGACTGCACATTTATAACTGTTTTTATCAGGTGAGGTTGATATCAAATTGAAAGTATGTGTTCCATCTCGACTATCTAATAGTGAGACTGCACGTTTATATTTATATATTATATAATAGACATGGGAAAAGGTCTAACCATGTGGACCTCCAAGCTGGTGCAGGGCATTAACAAATAGTTTCTGCAACTCCTGTGACCAACATCTTCTTTGCTTCCTGGAAGTCTGCTGCTGCTGTTGCTGCTGATGATGATGATGATACTGAGGCCTTACACTGCTTGATGCAGTAGAAGATGCAGCAGCTCTGCTACCATAGTCCATTGAACTTAAGCCACCAATCACCATATATTCCCTGGCAGGAGTGTCCAGCAACAGCCTAGGAACTGCAGATGTCTTTTCTGGATTCATTGTTTTCCCAGACACAAGTAGATCATTGGTTACTGAGCTGTTCTCCTCTTCCTCAATTGCCTGTTCAAAACAACAGAATCATCAATATCCCAAACAAGAATGAAGAAACAGTGTTTATGATGTTTCTACAGATTCAGTGACTGTTGTTTTACCAGTTTGAGATCATTCTTTGAACTGAGACAGTGGTTTCCACTGCTCCAGAGCTGCACAGAGTTCATCCAATCCACCTTTTCTCTACTGCCCTTTTCTCTCCTGGTTTCAATCTCATCATCATCATCAGAGCTCTTCTTAAGAGGTATAAATTCTTCCAAAACTGGCTCCATCCTTGACCTCCTGCACTGCACTGCTTCCTCTTTCAGGGCTACAATTGCTGCAACCACAACCCAAATCTTCAAACTCCTTAACCCAATCACCAGATTGTTTCACAACACAAATCACCGAAAACAGACAGTATAAATCCAGATTTTAACCCAAGAAAACAACAGAAAAACACCAAAACTTCGATTTCCACCTGCTCAATTGTTCATACACAAAACAACAGAAAAAAACACAGAAATCTTACCGTCATTTACCAGAAGCATGCAAAGAGGCAGCTCGCGTTTGAAAGCGTCGATCTTCCGCATTTCCTCTTCGAGTCGCCGCACGTAATCGTCAATCCTGGACACTCGCTCCGATGCGTCGCCGATCGTCGACATTCCGCCGAGAAACTCTGCGATCGTTCTGGGAACGAAAGCTGGCCTGCAATCCAAGCTCAGTTCAGCTGGAATCAAACCCATTTTTCAGATCTTCCTTCCACAGATTAGATCTTTTTATTTATACAAACGTAGGGGTGAGGCAAAGACTTCCAAAAAAATCCGATTTTTATTTTCAGACAAAGCAGAAGGGATGGGAAGCCGAGAATATAATAGCGGAGAATCTCCTGTTCGCCGCATATATAAACGTTTACGACACTTGGATTCCGATCCATATCGCTATTTTATTGAATGGTCTAAAATGTCCCTCGCTTTATCACATGAGATTCTATTCTTCTACTCCGTATGTCTGTATTTGTTTTATTTATACATTTTTTTTAATGCTACTGAATATTGATTCTATTATATTGTAGTATCTGTTCA